GGGTCAGTTCCATCTGCCAGCACTGGTGCCCTAGCCGCTGAGCTACAGGAACCAAGCCCAAAGAAGTGAGTCTTTATCTCTTTATCAGGCCCCAGAGGGGGAAAAGGACACTTCTAGAGAGTGCGTGTGCAGAAGCCTGGAGACCTGAAATGACTGGGTGAGGAGGCAAGAGATGAGGAGGCAGTTTTCAGAGTAACTTGAGGCCTTGCCTCAGGGAATTTGGACTTGATCCTGCAGAGACAAAGGTAGACGCAAGATCTGCTTTGGTGGGAAGAACGTGACTCAGCTTGGGATCTGGGAGAGGAGGCTGGATGTGGCAGGAGATGCTATCCTCAGCCCAGCCTTTCTCACTGTGCATCACGTGCACACAAGGAGAGCTTCTCACACCCAGAATCTCGGAGCCCCAGCCCAGATACGCTGACCCCAAATTTTGGAAATGTTCCCTCCAAGGGTCACTCCAGGGCACCCCTGCACTGGGGTCCTTGCCATTGATATGGATAAGGTCAAGCTTTATTGCAGCCCTGGACTTTATTCCCTCAGTGGTGTTTCAACAGGAGGTAGGCCCATGCCTGACTTCTAAGTGACAGACTGTGTGCATGGTGGCTCTCAAAGGACCTGTTCAGGGCTCAAGTGTGTTTCAGAGTGTCCTGAGCTCTAAGCTGCGTATGGTCCCTGTGCCAGGTGAGGGCCACCTACCCAGTGACCTGGAACCATAAACCGGAGTAGACAAGGCATCCTCCACCCCACCTTCACAACACACTGGGATTTGTCCACTTCATTTCCTTCCTAACCTGGGGGAAAGGGAGTGAGGGAGAGGCCCCAGGTGGCTGAGATGCTAGCATCTCATCCTTAAGACGATCTCTGCCATATATTGAGTCAGGCACTAGACCAGGAGCTTTATGTGCAGTTAGGACAGTTGCCCCAAGGAGTGAGTGTTTTAGCTCCATTTTATAGACAGGCTCACTTGTTCAGGTCATGCAACCTCATCTGTAAAAAGGGAACAGTATTCCCTGCCTTGCCAGGGAGTTATGAGGATGATAGTGCATGAATGTGTGATAAAGTGCAAGAGGGGGTGGGGTGCAGTCCGATGGAGAGGTGGCTGGGAGCGTAAGGACTTGATGTGAATTGCCTGTGGTATTGCAAGGTACAGTTACCTGAACCGTATGTTAGTTTGGGGTGGCCTTCCAGGGGCAGTGATGGCATCAGGTAAAAGCTTCCAACATCTGTTGTACTCATGGTCATCAAGGTGGGTCACCAAGAGACAGAAAGAGGCTTCAGCCACCCTGTGCCAGGCCCTGGGGATAGTGTAGCCAGCTGGGCCCTTGCTCCCAGCTCCAGGCCCTTTGCCCACGACTGGGCACATTAGGGCTGAGAGGCTGCATCTTCCTGAGGCGAGGCACTGACTCGCTTCCTTTCCCTCCTCACTCTCCCTGCTCGCTGTGACCTCAGCAGATCTGTGGTCCAGCCAGGGAGCTGCTTTCTGAGGATCCCAGGCCTCCTGACCCAAGTAGGAACTGAAGTGGTTGGGGGGAGTCCCCCCCACCAGATGAGGAAATCCCCTTGAGAACAGTGAAGAAAACAGAAGCTGCTTTCTGGCTCCACAAGTAGCTGGGCAGCCACGCCAGACCACAGGAGGTTTCTGTGGCACCTGGGGACAGAAGAGGGTGTAGCACGATGGCCACCACACCAACTCAGGCCTGGGTTTGACTCCGTTGCTCCCTGGCAAATGACTCCCCTGCTCTGGCTCAGGTTCCTCACGGATAGATCGGTAGTCCTCTCATCAGAGTTGATGTGAAGATGAAGCGCATTAGGATGTGCAAGGTGCTTGGCACAGAGCTGACAAACAGTGACAGAGATGGCTCTGCCCAGGCCCCACTCTTCTTCCTTTGTCATATAAGCGTGGTGCCCAGGCACTGGGAGGGGCCTTCCCTGCCTGCCCCTGCAGTCAGCCATATTCTGGCTTTGTGGGTGGTGACAGTGGGGAAGTGGCATGGCCTCCTTACCAGTAGATGTCCCCTACACTCACTTGGGGTGAGCTTGAGCACCCCGAGCTGTATGTGCAGCCAGGTCCTCTGCTCCTCTTCTCCACTGGCCTCACCTGACAGGTGTGCGGAGCTGCCCCACTTTAAACAAGATAATAATACGCTGAATGCAGCCAGCCTCTGCAGATCCTCTTGAGTAATTTATAGTTATTACCAAAGAATTGGAAACAACCTAAATGTTCAAGAATCATAACAAGAAGATGACGTTGAGGGCTAGCTCTGTGTACTCTGTGTATGAACTCTAAACCCACACAGAAACTGTGAGGGGGTGACAGTGCTTTTATCACCCCCATTTTACAGATGAGAGGGCTGAGCCCCTTGCCCAAACTCATAGCATTAGCAAGTGGTAAAGCTGGGAGTTGGATGCAGCCGCTGGTTCCTGGCCACAGGTCCAGTGCTCTGCCCACACGTGTGTGGTTGGCGTGTTTTGCTTTGATCGGTGTTCCTGGAGGCTGTTTGTGTTCTAGTGGGTGAGGACTGTGCTTTTACCTTTCTCTGGTTTGGGGCCTTGGACAGGGCTGGGTGATAATGCCAGCATGAGCTCAGGTTGGGGTGACCATGAATAGGACCTAGCCCTACCAGGACTAAAGGCCTCTTCTCTTTCTCCCTATAGAGCCCTTGCCTGCCTCAGTGTACCACGCCCTCCCTGCTGGACTGGGGGCCTTCCCTCCACCACCATGGTCTGGAAGAAACTGAGCTTTGGAAACTTCTCCAACTGCCCCAATGGCTCTTTAGAGTGGATATGGGACTTGTTTGGTGAATGTGCCCAGGACAGCTGGGATGAGGCCAGTGTGGGGCTGGGCTTGATCTCCATTCTCTGCTTCGCTGCGTCTACCTTTCCGTGAGTAGCATCTGGATGACAGGATCAGGGCAGGGCTGTGGCAGGTAGGGAGCGGTGGCTCTAGGTACAGTACAGAGGAGGGGGCTACCTGCTGGCCAGGGGCCTCTACAGACTCAAGACCAGGAGTATTCCATCTTTTTCCTTTTTTTTTTTGCAGGTTTTTTTTTTTTTTTGCATTTTTTGGCCAGGGGTGGGTTTGAACC